GGATGGTGCCTTTATATAGGCATAGGTAACGCATACCCCCTTCTCCTAAAGCTAAAAGGAAAACATTACATAAAGGAAGGACCAAGGAAATTGCCTACTCCTTGTCCTAATAGAAAAAGTAAATAACATTACATAATTAAGCAAGGATTGGACTTAGTCAAACAAGGCCCAACCCAATGTCTTCTAAACTATTTAAATAACTAATCTAAGATAGAATAAAGGCCTAATTGGCCGAATTACACATTGATAGTTCTAATGCTCAACGATTTCAAGCAAAGTGCATGGCTTGGAATCGTTGGGAATATTCCATGGCTTGATGTCTTCAATGCTCTCCAATTGATCTTCAATGGACTTCAAACCTCCAAGATGAGTTCGTACCAAGCCCAATAAAGCTTCCTTCAACCTTTTAGCCCGAGTCCTTGTCATAGGACCTAATGGAATAGCTAAAGGATCAAATTGCCGGTTGTGCCCGGTCATATGCGATTGCTCCATGCCATGGCCAGTCATGTGCCCGGTCTTGTGTGGTTGCCGCATGCAATGGCCGGTCATGTGCGATCCCATCATCTCCATGCTCCTCCAAGCTTCCTTTCAATCTGGGATCAACCGTAGCAGCTTCTTGAATATCCGAGGCATCTCCATGTTTATCCGTAGCATGATCTCCATTAGCTCCATTGTGCTCTTCAAGACCATGATAAGCCTTTGGCGCATCATCCCCTCTCCCTTGAAAAGGATTTGTCCTCAAATCTGCATCACTATCAAACAAGGATAAGTCTGAAACATTAAAAGTAGCACTTACATTGCCATATTCGCTTGGAAGATCTAGCTTGTAGGCATTGTAGTTGATCCTCTCCAAAACTTGGAATGGACCATCACCACGAGGTAAGAGCTTAGACTTTCTCTTTTCAGCGAACCTCTCCTTCCTTAGATGCAACCAAACTCAATCACCAGGTTCAAAGATGATCTCCTTGCGCTCTTTGTTAGCATTCTTCATGTAGTGTTGTGTTTTCTTCTCAATTTGAGCTCTAACCCTAGCATGAAGCTCCCTAACAAAATCGGCCTTCCTTTGTCCATCCATGTCGACTTGCACACTCAAAGGTAAACTCAACAAATCCAATGGGGTTAAAGGATTAAAACCATACACTGTTTCAAAAGGTGAATGTCCAGTAGTACTATGTATGCTTCTATTGTATGCAAATTCAACATGAGGTAGACAATCCTCCCAAGTTCTTAAGTTCTTCTTAATGAAAGCCCTAAGTAAGGTTGACAAAGTCCAATTGAATAGTTCAGTTTGGCCATCGGTTTGAGGATGACAAGTAGTGGAAAATAACAACTTAGTACCCAACTTAGCCCATAAAGTTCTCCAAAAGTGACTTGAACTTAGCATCTCTATCATTCACAATCGTCCTAGGTCTTCCATGTAGTCTAACAATCTCCTTAAAGAAAAAATTAGCTACATTAATGGCATCATCCGTTTTAGTGCATGCAATGAAGTGTGCCATCTTAGAAAACCTATCAACAACCACAAAGATAGAATCTTTACCTCTCCTAGAACGAGGTAAACCTAACACAAAATCCATGCTAATATGAGTCCATGGTTCATGAGGAATAGGTATAGGAGTATACAATCCAGGAGCCTTAGATGTAGATTTAGCTTGCAAACAAACAATACAACTAGCAACATGCTTTCCTACATCATATCGCATCTTAGGCCAAAAGAAGTGTTCATGCAATATCTCATAAGTTCTATCAACTCCAAAGTGACCCATTAAACCCCCTTCATGCGATTCCCTCACAAGAACATAACGCAAAGAGCAAGAAGGTACACACAATCTAGATTCCTTAAACAAAAATCCATCATGCTTATAATACTTTCCAAATCCAGAATTTTCACATGCTTTAAAGATTTCACTAAAGAAAGCATCACTAGCATACAATTCCTTAATGAATTCAAAACCAATAAACTTAGAATCAAGCTTGGAAAGTAAGACATACCTCCTTGATAAAACATCGACTACAACATTCTCCTTACCTTGTTTGTATCGCACAACATAAGGAAAAGACTCAATGAACTCATATTGAACAAATCGCACATTATATGGAGTGAGTTCAATCTCTCTAATGGATGGCAATCCTCTAGGAATTTTCTCACAAAAGTAAGCAACAAAATTCCCTCCTTGCATCAAAACAACTCCAATTCCAACAATATTACTCATAGGAAACACAATTTTGCTTGGAAGTTCCTTATCCAAGTGGTTAGTGCTCACAAGTGTATTTTTAAGCAAAAACAAGATTAAAACAGAATTATCATTCAAAGCACTCTTAATTTCACTTTTAGTAGTTAACATACACTCTTTAACAACTTCCTTAGAAATCTCTTTCTTTTCACCCAAAACAGTCCTATTTTCAATGCTATGATCAAGCAAAACAGAATTATTTTCAATGCTATGATCAACCAAAACAAAATTATTTTCAATGCTATGATCAACTAAAACAGATTTGTTTTCATCACAATTAGCATCCAAAACAGATTTAGTGGCATCGCAAACAACACTCAAATTAGGTTTAGTATCATCACAAATAACATCTAAAAAACTCTTTTCAACTAAGGTTGTTTTATCATCAAAACAATCATCTATTTTAGGTTCAGATTTACTCTTTTCTTTAGCCCTAAATTCAACATCCAATTTAGCAAAATCATCTCTCACTTTAATTTGATCTTTTAAAGCTTCTTGAAGTGATAAAGGAACTAAAGAGATAGACTTCTTACCACACATGAAAGAATACTTATTGGTCTCACCATCATGAAGAATTTTGTTGTCAAATTGCCAAGGTCGACCAAGTAGTACATGGCATGCTTGCATGGGTAAGACATCACACAAAACATCTCCCTTGTACTTGCCCAAAGAAAGAGAAACTAAAACTTGTTTGTTAACACTAATGTCTTCTCTATCATTGAAAAACCTAAGCTATAGGGTTTAGGATGATTAGAAGTAGGTAGTTGTAACTCTTTCACCAAATAATCACTAACTATGTTTTTACAACTCTCTCCATCTATAATCACACTACTAGGCTTCCCATTCGCATACATCCTAGTATGAAACAAATTCTCCCTTTGAACATCCCCTTTTACATAGGCACTCAAAGTTCTCCTATCAACCAAACTAATAGACATGGTGCCAAGTTGTTGAAGTATTTGTTGTACATGGCAGCCGTGTTTACTTCTTGGTTTTGCTCTTCTTGTTGTTTTTCCATGGTTCCTACAAAAAGAACAAAGATCAGTACTAAAAATCCTCACAAGTGTGTGTGTATACCTTGATTGTGCTCTCGTATTTGCACTCAATTCCTATGGATTGGCAGTCCACTACTCTCTTAATGATCTCACAAGATTATGCCTTTTACTAGCTTTAATAGGCCTAATAAGAGCAACTCCTAAAGAACTCTTTTCTTCTCATGGCCTACTTGAGGAACAAACAATTAGTAGCAAAATTTTTGTGAATCAAAGGAAAGTGATCTAAAAACCAAAACCAAACCACTTCTGCAGGCCTCTTATGTAGAATTCCTTCTCCAAATTTGCTGCACAAAAACTCAATTTTAGCACAATTCAAAACAATCAAATCGATTAGTAAAACCCTAGTAAAACTTAAATCCAATTTTGTACCACTTGTCTCCAATAGGGTTTCAAACTTGAAATTCTTCAAATTAAATCTCAATTCACAGCAAAAGCAACTCAAGGATCTCAATCACACAATCAATTAGGGTTAATTGCAACAAATTGAATCAATTGCACAAGATAATCCCTAATTCCCAAATAACCTAGATTAAACCCTAGAACCCAAATTTGATTTTTTCCCAGTATTTTTCCCAGGAAGATCACACTAGAAGAAGTCTAAATATCAAATTTCAAAGCTTTCCAAGCTCAAACGAATCCAGAAAAAAAATCACAAGTTTCTGGTCGAAATTTTTTTATTTATTTTTTATTTTTTGATATAACTAATAGTTATAAGGAACTCAAATATGAAATTTCAAAGCAATTGAGGTCCTAATGAATCTGCTATAATTTTTCAAAGTCTCAGAATTTTTGAATTTTTTCAAGAAGGTGGTGCGATAAGAGTGTGGGTGAATTTTGATGGATGAAAACTTGTTGAATGATGAAAAGAAGGATAGATTTACCGATTGAAGATGACAACCTATGCTCTGATACCAATTGATATCGAATCTAGTTGTGTTAGATTCAAATCTACCCTTTGAATAGCCACCAAAGTTGACTTGAAGTTCCTCCACTCCTTGATGAGTTGATTAAACAATCTTCACAAAGCTTAATCCCTTCGTTCGTTGCCCTAAGTATCCAATTAGACCTGCAATTGAATTCTTAAGATCACAAGATTCACAAACAACTAAGCAATCACAACCTAATTATTTACTAAGACTCTACAAGATTGAAGAACCCTAAGTTTGCTCAAACTAGAACAATGAAGCCAAATAATCGATATGGGTGTATAAACCTCTCAACTTTATTGATAACTTGACTTGTGTTTATAAGAGGGGGATGATGCCTTTATATAGTAGTAGGGGACGCATAACACCCTTCTCCTAAAGCTAAAAGGAAAACATTACATAAAGGAAGGATAAAGGAAATTACCTACTCCTTGTCCTACTAGGAAAAGTAAATAACATAACTTAATTAAACAAGGATTGGACTTAGTCAAACAAGGCCCAACCCAATGTCTTCTAAACTATTTAAATAACTAATCTAAGATAGAATAAAGGCCCAATTGGCCGAATTACACAATGATAGTCCTAATGCTCAACGATTTCAAGCAAAGTGCATGGCTTGGAATCGTTGGGAATATTCCATGGCTTGATGTCTTCAATGCTCTCCAATTAATCTTGAATGGACTTCAAACCTCCAAGATGAGTTCGTACCAAGCCCAATAAAGCTTCCTTGAACCTTTTAGTCCGAGTCCTTGTCAAAGAACCTAATGGAATAGCTAAAGGATCAAATGGCCGATTGTGCCCGGGTTGTGCCCGGTCATATGCGATTGCTCCATGCCATGGCCGGTGATGTGCCCGGTCTTGTGCGGTTGCCCCATGCAATGGCCGGTCATGTGCGATCCCATCATCTCCATCATCTTCCAAGCTTCCTTTCAAGCCGGGATCAAAAGTAGCAGCTTCTTGAATATCCGAGGCATCTCCATGTTTATCCGTAGCATGATCTCCATTATCTCCATTGTGCTCTTCAGGACCATGATAAGCCTTTAGCGCATCATCTGGTCCTTGAAACTGATCCTGCTACTATGGGAGATGCCTTAAATGACAAAGGCATCTCTGCCTGCTTGAACACCATGAATGTGGTTTCTGACAACAATAAGCACTCTAGCTTATCTTATAAGGATAAGCTCATTAACTCCAATGAGAATATTGCTATCTCCTTTTTTTCCTCTCCCTTTTACAGTAATGACTCCACTGACTCTGAAAGCGATGACGAGGAAGAAAAGGGAGTGGCTTCTATTAAACTCTCTAAAGAAGAGAAACAAAGAATCAGAGCCCCTTGGGCTCAAGCCATCATTGTCAAAACCTATGGTAAAAATGTGGGATACAAATTCCTTTACCCCCGTCTTATGGCTCAATGGAAGCGAGAGGGGAAAGTGGACTGTATCGATTTGGGAAAGGATTTTTTCTTATTTCAATTCCACCGTAACACCGATTATGCTAAGGTCATGTAAGGGGGTCCCTGGTTTGTTGGACCTCATTATCTTTCCATAAGACAATGGACCCCTGAGTTCAAACCAGAAAATGCTACCTTCTCGACTACGGTGGATTGGGCTAGATTACCTGGTTTGTCCATCGAATTTTTTGATGTTAACATCCTTAAACGCATTGGAAATCAAATTGGTCATCTGGTGCGTATTGATGCTAATACAGCTAGTACCTCAAGGGGCAAGTATGCTCGGCTTTGTGTAGAAGTCGACCTTGACACCCCTCTTTTGCACACCATTAAAATTGGCAAGTACAGACAACTTGTTCTGTATGAATCGGTCTCTGGACTTTGTTTCAAGTGTGGCTGTATTGGCCATAGCAAGAACAATTGCCCTTCAAATTCTTCAGACCCTAGTGGAGAAGATTTGGCCAATGGTCCTAAGGAACTGTCTATGGAGGGAGAAACTGTCGACCCGCCCGAGGCCAAATCGCCTCCTAATGCAACTTCTAGTGAAGGCTACAGGCCGTGGATGGTGGTCACCCGACGGAAAATCAAGCCACAACCCACAAAGAGCCCCACTGATTGTACAAACACTATGCCCAAGAACACCCACAATGGGTCGACCGTTGCGGCTAAGCCCAATGCAAAAATCAGTAGGGCCGAACCTGCTAGGGAGGGCCTAAGCCAAATGGTTATTGCCTCTAACCAACAGGCAATTAAAAATGATCGTTCTGACCCCCCTACTCAGCCTGACATGCTAGCACCTTCTCCTATGGAAATTCAAACAGCAAGTAATGTGCCTTCTACCATACCGGGTTCCAGCTCGTCTCGACCTTCTGCCTCGATAGCAGTAAAATCTCCTTGCTGTCTCAAACCTAGCAACAAAATTGTTCCCCCCTCCCCTGAACCCATTTTTTTCTACCCAATCCCCTAGCCTAAATGAAAAAATCGATCCTTGATCTGTATCATCCGAAAGCAGATCAACTGGTTTATTATCTACACTTCAAGGGCCGATTTTTGACCCTCCAGAAAGCCATAGACTCAGTTGAGAACCCTCGAAAGAACCCATTCCTCAACAAACCTGCGATTCCACTGTCCAAAGCGTGGAACAACCTAGCAGTGGTGGCAAAGCCCCTGTTTCCAACAATGCAACCCCATCTCTTAGTAAATCCGGAGGATCTGTTCGATATGAGCCAAGAGTAAAATGAGGAAATGCTAAGAAAAATGGTGGAAGAGGAGTTCCGCGAAGCGAGAGCGATCGTCCTCCAAGAAGTCGAAGCCCCATCAACAGAGGCTTGGAAAATGGAAACATTCAAAAGGATCATTTTACCAAGGAAAGTGGAAACATTCAAAAGGATCATTCAGAAGATGTTTGTGCTACCGAAGGATGTGAGGCGGACGAGTGTTATCGCGCGATCCTACACAGAGCTAGAAACCTTCCAGTGGGTTTACAATGTAGTGGTGATACCACATTGCCATTGCAACCCCAATCTAATGTGGGCTTGCAATGAGGCTAACAGGGCTCTCACTAATGAAGAGAAAACTAATGAGTGGTGGGGACCCAGCTCTAATCTTTTATCAATGTTAAAAGTTTTGGTTTGGAATTGACACGGTGCGGCTAGTCCTAATTTCCGTCGAGCTTGTCGTGAACTCATTCGCACTCACAATCCGGTGATCCTTCTCATTCTTGAAACCAGAATCTCTAGTATTTCTGCCTCAAATGTCGCAAAATTCTCTGGGATTCGACTTTGTCCACATTGTCGACTCCAATGGCCTTTCTGGTGGTCTGTAGCTTCTCTCCAATTCGCAAGAGGTTACGGTGGAGATCCTCCCACACAGCGATCAGGCAATCCATGCCGTAGTAGAGGTATGAAGCGATTCCAACTTTAAATTTCCTTGGTTTCTTTCTAGTGTTTACGCTAACCCCTCCTTATCCAAAAGAAAGTTATTGTGGAATGAACTTAGGCAGGTTAGTGACACCATCAATGGCCCTTGGGCCATTATGGGGGATTTTAACGACATTATTAGTGCTGATGAGAAGTTTGGAGGCAGGCATCTCAACAGCTATAGAACTAGACTCTACAATGATTGTATGAATTATTATGGCATGATTGATCTAGGGTTCTCGGGCCCTAAATGTACCTGGGTCAATGCTTGTTATAACAGTATTCTTATTAGGGAAAAGTTTAATAGGGTCTGGGCCAACTCTAATTGGTGTGACAAATTCCTTAATGCTGCTATCCAACATCTCTCTAGGCCCTTCTTCTTGACCTTTCCCCATCAGTAGAAGTGGCTCTATTAGAGCCTTCAGATTTGAATGGTGTTGGTTCAACAACCTTGATTTCCTTGATTTTGTTCATAACTGCTGGAATAGAAGTGATCATAATCTCTCGCAAAAATCTAGCGAGTTTGTCTCAGCTGTTAGAGTTTGGAACCGGGAAACTTTTGGCAATGTTTTTATCAAGAATAAGAAGTTGTTAGCTCGCATTCAAGGAATCCAGAAAGCCCTTTGTGACCACCATAACAGCTTTTTTGTGGACTTGGAGAAAGAGCTAATCAAGGACTATAATGTTGTCCTTAAGGATGAAGAGGAATTTTGGAAAATGAAATCTAGAGTTGACTGGATCCTGGATGGTGATAGAAATACAAGCTTTTTCCACCTCTCTATTATCATCAGGAGGAAAAGGAACAGGGATTTTAGGCTTAAAGACTCTGTTGGTAATTGGATCAATCAGGATCAGGCCCTTGCCTCCCACATTATCAATCATTTTCAGATTCTTTTTTCTACTTCGCTAGTCACTTCCGATTGGGACTGCATCCTTCCAGCCAATATAACTAATGAGCTGAGACTTGATACCCATGACAGTCTGTGTCAAAAACCTTCTAGGTCTGAGATTCATAAAGCCCTGTTCTCTATGAAGCCTAGAAAGTCACCGAGTCCTGATGGTCTCCACCCAGGTTTCTTCCAAAAGTGTTGGAAGACTGTGGCTCCTACCATTTGGGAATATATCTCTAAAGTCTTCACTGACTGGGCCATCCCTGCTTATTGGAGCGAGAGCCTTATTGCCCTCATTCCTAAATCTCTGAATCCTGAGTCCATCACTCAGTTCAGACCTATAGGTCTTTGCAATACCTCTTATAAAATTGTCTCCAAAATCCTTGTCAACAGGATTCGGCCCCTCCTCTTTGATTTGATTAGCCCTAACCAAGCTAGCTTCATCCTAGTGAGAAAAGGCACAGATAATATTATCTTGGTGCAAGAAATTGTTCATTCCTTCTCCAAACAGATTGGTAAAGTGGGGAACTTACTCATCAAGCTTGATTTAGATAAAGCTTATGACAAGCTGGAGTGGAGCTTTATCAGACAAGTTCTTCTTTTTTTCAATTTTCCCAAAGACATTATCTCTCTTATTATGTCTTGTATCTCCTCGGCTTCCATGTCCATTTTTGTTAATGGTTCGAATACTGAACCATTCCAACCTACGAGAGGGATCCGGCAAGGTGATCCCCTCTCACCTTATATTTTCATCCTCTGCATCGAATACCTCTCTATCATGATTAATGACAAGCTGGAAGCTAGAGAATGGACCTCCTTCAAGACTTTTAGAAATGGCCATCTTCTTACGCATCTGTTCTTTGCAGATGACCTTATCCTTTTTGCTAAAACCACTCCTCAAAACTGTGTTGCCATCCAGGATGTCCTTGATACCTTTACCAAACTTTCTGCTCAGCAAGTCAATCACACCAAATCCAAAATCCTCTTCTCCAAGAATACTGAACCTTATGTTGCCAACGCTATCTGTGACAATCTGGGTTTTGATAGGGTGAATGACATTGGGAAATATCTGGGTTTTCCAATATCCCATAAAGCGCCATCAAAAGCCAATTATAGTTTCATTGTGGACAAGATCAATCAGAAATTAGCAGGGTGGAAAACTAGACTCCTCTCCCATGCTGCAAAAACCACGTTGATCAATTCCTCGATCACTGCTACGGCGGGATACTATATGCAGGCTGCGGCCTTTCCGGTGTCGACCCTTAATGATATCGATAGGGCTGCTCGGAACTTTCTTTGGGGCAGCACCAATGACAGTAGAAAGCTCCATCTTATCAACTGGATATGGTCACCAACAGTAAGGAAGAAGGAGGGTTTGGCATTAAATCTGCTAAGAATTTGAATAGAGCCTACATGGATAAGCTGTCCTGGGATCTGCTTACTAATAACCAGAGCCTCTGGGTCTCGGTGTTTAGAAACAAATACTTGGCCTGTAAGAGAGAGAGGAAATATGGTTCTCCCCTGTGGAGAAGAATCTCCAAGGCCTCTGGTCTCCTTAAAGATGGGATCAAATGGACCATTAAAGATGGGGAAAGGGCTCTTCTTTGGCATGACAATTGGTCGGGCCTAGGCCCTCTGAGAAATTTCTTTATAGGCCCTCTTAATCTGGAAGACAATGCAGCCTGTGTTTCTTCTGTCATTAATCAACATGGAACTGTGGAGGCGGATGCTCTTAGGTTTTTCCTTCCCTCTTCCATCATTGATCACCTCTCCTCCATTCCCACCTAAGCCTCTCACCACAAGGGATATGTTATCAGCTGGCACCCTTCGGATGATGGCAATTTCAGTATAGCCAGTGCTTACAAGCTTGATAGGATCACTTTCCCTAAACCCCAGGGAGCTTCTCTCTTACAAGGGAATTTCCTAATCTGATAAATGCCTCTCCTGCCCTGACCAGGTGAAATCTGTGGATCACATATTCCGGAAATGCAAACATGACATCAAGTTTTGGCATGCTTTCCAACCCCCTCCCTCAGCCCTGGAGTCCTTTAATCAAGATTTTTAATCTTGGTTGAAAAATAACTATCTTGACTCCTCTGCTTCTAAGCTCTTTAACATCCCCTGGAAAGTGATTTTCCCTTTCATTGTTTGGAGAATCTAGAATATGAGGACTAAAATCCTTTATGGAGAGAGTTCCCCTAATTTTGCTCATTTGGTGGAAAGCACCAGAAATCAAATTGTGGAGTTTTTTGCGTGTTCTAACATGGCAAAAAATACATCTAGACAGAGGACCATTTTGGTTGGATGGGTACCTCCTCCTGAAGGTTATTACAAACTTAATATCGATGGATCCTCCCAAGGAAACCCAGGGAAAGGAGGGGCGGGAGGGATCATTAAAGACTCTATTGGTCCTTTGTTATTGGTTTCTCTATACTCATGGGTGTTGCCAATAGTACTTGTGCTGAGTTATGGGCAATCTGAGATGGCTTGAATATTGCTAAAGAGAAAAGACTTCAGAATATTATTGTGGAGTGTGACTCTAAACTAGTGATTCAACTCATCTCTGGTTGCTTCAATGGTAGAAATACTTTGATACGAATCTAGTTGTAATTGGTCCAAATCCACCTTAGAGACCCGCCTAAGATCAACTTGAATCACCAAACTTCTAGATGTGTATGTCGACAATCTTCACTTGATAAATCTTCCTTCGTTCATCGGACTTAGACCTCCAAGTCGACCTGCTTTTGAACACCTAAGATCACAAGATTCACAAACAATTAAGCAATCACAACCTAATTGCTTGCTAGGACTCTACAAGATTGAAGAACCCTAAGTTTGCTCAAACTAGAACAAAAAAGCCAAATAATCGATATGGGTGTGTAAACCTCTCAACTTTATTGATAACTTGACTTCCGTTTACAAGAGGGGGTTGGTCCCTTTATATAGTAGTAGGGGACGCATAACCCTTCTCCTAAAACTAAAAGGAAAACATTACATAAAGGAAGGAACAAGGAAATAGCCTACTCCTTGTCCTACTAGGAAAACTAAATACTATTACATAATTAAGCAAGGATTGGACTTAGTCAAACAAGTCCCAACCCAATGTCTTCTAAACTAAATTAATAACTAATCTAAGATAGAATAAAGGCCCATGAGGCCGAATTACACAATGCCAAAGTCTAATGCTCATCGATTTCAAGTAAGGTAAACACCTTGGAGTCGATGGGAATATTCTTGGTGATGTCGACTTCAATGCCTTCCAAATGTTCTTCAATGGACTCTAAACCTCCAAGATGAGATCTTACAAAGCCCAATAAAGCTTCCTTGAACCTTTTAGCCCGAGCCCTAGTCATTGGACCTTGCGGAATGGCTAAAGGATCAAAAGGCTAGTCTTGTCCGGATGGCCCGATCGATGGCCGGTTGTGGCCGGTTGGTGCGCCAATCGATGGCTGGTTGTGGCCGGTTGCCCCATGCGATGTCGCATGCGATGGCCGGTCATGTGGTCGGTTTTGCGCGTCTTCTCCAAGCAATGGCCGGTCACTTGTGCCTCCATCTCCATGCTCCTCCAAGCTAGCATCGATGACATCTACATGATCTTCATTGGCTCCAATGTGTTCTTCTAAGCCATGTAAGCCCTTGACGCATCATCCCCTCTACCTTGAAAATGATTTGTCCTCAAATCTGCATCACTATCAAACAAGGATAAGTCTGAAACATTAAAAGTAGCACTTACATTGCCATATTCACTAGGAAGATCTAGCTTGTAGGCGTTGTTGTTGATCCTCTCCAAGACTTGGAATGGACCATCTCCACGAGGTAAGAGCTTAGACTTTCTCTTTTCAGGGAACCTCTCCTTCCTTAGATGCAACCAAACCCAATCCCCGGGTTCAAAGATGACTTCCTTGCGCCCTTTGTTAGCGTTCTTCATGTAGTGTTGTGTCTTCTTCTCAATTTGAGCTCGAACCCTAGCATGAAGTTCTCTAACATAATCGACCTTCCTTTGTCATCCATGTCGACTTGCACACTCAAAGGTAAACTCAACAAATCCAATGGGGTTAAAGGATTAAAGCCATACACAGTTTCAAAAGGTGAATATCTAGTGGTGCTATGTATGCTTCTATTATATGAAAATTCGACATGAGGGAGACAATCCTCCCAAGTTCTTAAGTTCTTTTTAATTAAAGCCCTAAGCAAAGTAGACAAAGTCCTATTAACTACCTCGGTTTGTCCATCGGTTTGAGGATGACAAGTAGTAGAAAATAACAACTTAGTTCCTAGCTTAGCCCATAAAGTTCTCCAAAAGTGACTTAAGAACTTAGCATCTCTATCACTTACAATCGTCCTAGGCATTCCATGTAGTCTAACAATTTCTTTAAAGAAGAAATTAGCTACATTAATGGCATCATCCGTTTTAGTACATGCAATAAAGTGAGCCATCTTAGAAAACCTATCAACAACCACAAAGATAGAATCTCTACCTCTCCTAGAGCGAGGTAAACCTAACACAAAGTCCATGCTAATATGAGTCCATGGTTCATGAGGAACAGGCAAGGGAGTATACAATCCATGCGGTTTAGAAGTAGATTTAGCTTGCAGACAAACAATGCAACTAGCAACATACTTCCCTACATCATGTCGCATCTTAGGCCAAAAGAAGTGTTCATGCAATATGTCATATGTTCTATCAACTCCAAAGTGACCCATTAAGCCCCCTTCATGTGATTCCCTCAAGAGCAATATGCACAAAGAAAAAGAAGGAACACACAATCTAGATTCCTTAAACAAAAATCCATCATGCTTATAATACTTTCCAAATCCAGAATTTTCACATGCTTTAAATATTTCACTAAAGTAAACATCACTAGCATATAATTCCTTAATATACTCAAAACCAAGAAACTTAGAATCAAGTATGGAAAGTAAGACATACCTCCTTGATAAAGCATCCGGCTACCACATTCTCCTTACCTTGTTTGTATCGCACAACATAAGGAAAGCTCTCTATGAACTCACTCCACTTAGCATGCCTCTTGTTTAGCTTTTGTTGGCCTCTTAAATACTTTAAGCTCTCATGATCCGTATGAATCACGAATTCCTTAGGCCAAAGGTAGTGTTGCCAAGTTTGCAACGCCCTCACAAGAGCATACAACTCTTTGTCATAGGTTGGGTAGTTCAATGCTGCCCCATTCAATTTCTCACTAAAGTATGCGACGGGCTTCCCACCTTGCATTAAAACAGCTCCAATTCCAACCCCTGATGCATCACATTCAATCTCAAAAGTATTGTTAAAGTTAGGTAAAACAAGCAAAGGAGCATTAGTTAGTTTATCCTTCAACGTCTCAAATGCTTCTTGTTGTTCATCTCCCCATTTGAATGGTGCATTCTTCTTCATAACACTTGTAATAGGGGCGGCTAAGGTGCTAAAGTCCTTAACAAACCTCCTATAGAATCCGGCTAGTCCATGAAAAGATCTCACTTGTCCAACGTTGGTGGGTGTTGGCCATTCTTTGATTGCCTTGATCTTTTCCTCATCAACCTCTATACCTTGCGATGAAACCACAAAACCAAAAAAAAAAGCAAGCTTGTTTGTGCAAAAGGTGCACTCCTTAAGGTTAGCATACAATTTCTCAACCCTAAGTACATCTAACACACATCTTAGATGCCTAACATGCTCATCTAGGTTTCGGCTATACACAAGAATATCATCAAAATAAACAACAACAAACTTGCCAATAAAAGTTCTTAAAACATGATTCATTAGTCGCATGAATGTACTAGGTGCATTAGTCAATCCAAAAGGCATACCTAACCATTCATACAACCCTAATTTAGTTTTAAAGGCAGTTTTCCATTCATCACCCTCTTTCATGCGAATTTGATGATAGCCACTCTTAAGATCAATCTTAGAAAATAAGCAAGCACCATGCAATTCATCAAGCATATCATCTAATCTAGGAATAGGGTGACGATACTTTACCGTGATGTTGTTTATTGCCCTACAATCAACACACATTCTCCAAGTCCCATCTTTCTTAGGAACAAGTAATACAGGAACGGCACATGGAGAAAGGCTTTCACGCACAAAACCTTTTTGAAGTAGCTCACCAACTTTTTTGTCCAATTCCTTTGTTTCTTCAGGATTTGTCCTATAAGCTGCCTTATTTGAAATTTGCGCCCCGGGGATGAAGTCAATTTGATGTTCAATTCCCCTAATTGGTGGTAATCCACTAGGAATCTCCTCAGGAAACACATCTACATAATCACTCAAAAGAGAAACAATGTTGCTTGGAAGCTCGCTTTCCAAGTGGTTAGTGCTCACAAGTGTATATTTAAGCAAAAGCAAGATCAAAACAGAATTATCATTGAAAGCTTCTTTAATCTCACTCTTAGTTGCTAACATACACTCCTTATTAACCTTCTTAGAACTATCATGCTTAACTATATCGCAATTCTTATCTAAATTAGCATGATTAGTCTTTTCTTTAGCCCTAAATTCCGAATCTAGCTTAGCAAAGTCCTCTTTCAATTTCAATTGATCTTTTAAAGCTTCTTGAGGTGATAACGGAATAAAAGTAAAGGGCTTCTTACCACACATAAGAGTATATTGGTTCGTCTCACCATCATGTTGAACCTTGTTGTCATATTGCCATGGTCGTCCAAGTAGTACATGGCATGCTTGCATGGGTAAGATATCGCACAATACATCTCCTTTATACCTGCCCAAACAAAGAGAAACTAAAACTTGTTTGTTAACCCTAATTTCCTCCTTATCGTTGATCCAACCCAAG